TGTTTGAACACATTGTTGTTATCCCGATGATGTCACTTTGTTTTTCCTGATGATCATTTTGTGCTTTTTCTCTCTTTTTTTTGCAGTTTTGTGTGCGAAGAATCTGGTGAAGAAGGATTTTTTCAGTGAGTATCAGCGGAGTTCTTCTTTGTGTGGTGGGACATAGCGGGCCAGGGGGCCAGAAAATGAAAGGGGGGCTCGGAATATTGTCTTCCTGCTGTAAGATGTACCCTCTGCATTAAATCTGACCTCCGTCCTTCCCTTCAGTCTTCTATCTTCTCAGCTCGCTTCCTCTCTCCTCCTCTACGCTGAAATGTAAAGTACAGGAAGTGGCTGTTGAGAACAGGAAGTGGTGGCACACTCCACATGTCACATTTCAAAGATGGCCCCTCAGCAGTGTCTTCCTTGTAACCCTGGCCGTACCCTGTGATTTTATATTGAAACAAAATGGATGTTTCCAGACAATGTCCTTATCATTGCCATAGAAATATCTTCACTGATCTCTTGTGCTGAGGAGGAAAGGCTGGTGGCCATTGCTGGGTGGTCGGCCATTGCTGGGTGGTCGGCCATTGCTGGGTGGTCGGCCATTGCCGGGTGGTCGGCCGTGCTGCGGTCGGCCGTGCTGCGGTCGGCCGTGCTGCGGTCGGCCTCAGATACGAGGCGCAGCCTATATTCAGGTTTGGTTGGACCGTGCGTGTGATTTCCGTGTTCAGCTCGTAGGCCGGCTGCGTTATCTGCTCTCTTTCTTTCGCCCCCAACTGCAGGGCTCCCGGATCCTTTTGCCAAGGTGGTAGTGGACGGGTCGGGGCAATGCCACTCTACGGACACAGTGAAGAACACCCTGGACCCGAAGTGGAACCAGCACTACGACCTGTAAGTCCTCTGCAAAGTGTCACTCGGCTAAACCATTTCTCATAGATTTGGGGGGGATACTGAGGGGGAATAACAGGCGCCGTTCCTCCGCTGAAAGTGCGGCATGTAGCGTGCAAATTACCGGTGGGAATGGGTGTTCTGGTATAATCATGTGATGTCAGTGGCGTGTATACCAAACCATCACAGAGGATCATTGTTGGGGTTTGTGTAAGCAGGGGAGCCCATTAGGTGGATGGTGATCGTAGCTCTCAGAGCTGATGCTGGTAGATCAGGAAGGGGGGGATGGCGGCCAGGAGAGAGAGTGCCTGGAGAGAGAGAGTGCCTGGAGAGAGAGAGTGCCTGGAGAGAGAGAGTGCCTGGAGAGAGAGAGTGCCTGGAGAGAGAGAG